CGTTAACGTTAGGCCTTAGCTCCAGGCACATCGGGCGCCCCACGAACGCCCTTCTCCAAACCAAAGTCTGCCCTGCCGCACACTTCCAGTGAAACCACCTTAGAATGTTTTCAGATTTCCCAACGCACTCTTGGAACCGGCTCACGGATCCTCGTAGAAATGCACTTGCTTTTGTCCCCCCTGGACGGAGACGACGGTGGGACATAAACGGCAGTGGGAAGCTGCCATATGTTCCCCCCCGACTAGGCAGACGGTAAAGCTTCCCCCTCGTGAGCGATGGGTGAGAAACGAATGGCCGGTGGTTTGATCCGAAGAGGGTCAGCCTTGGCTGCATTGTCCCTTCTCAGCCGGGTCCACCGTCGCCGGAGATGCTAAATCTTCCCCGTGAAAACAAAGGGCTCGGACAAAGCTGAGACACCTGAGCTCGCTCAGCCAACGCACGTTCCGATTGGCTGCGTTATCGACCAATAGGAAAGAAGAACTGGCGTCTCCTAGTGACAGCATTTTCTGTTTATCCAATCAGATGGTAGCGCTTTGGAGCCCTCATTTAAATATAAAGATGACAAATAGCCCTGCCTTCATCGGGTCCCTGTTCCTCTGGGTACAGCCAGTGCAGCAGGATGCCGGAGCCTTCCCGCTCCACTCCCGCCCCGAAGAAGGGCTCCAAGAAGGCCATCACCAAGGCGCAGAAGAAAGACGGCAAGAAACGCAAACGGGGCCGCAAGGAGAGCTACTCCATCTACGTGTACAAGGTGCTGAAGCAGGTGCACCCGGACACGGGCATCTCGTCCAAGGCCATGGGCATCATGAACTCGTTCGTCAACGACATCTTCGAGCGCATCGCCAGCGAGGCCTCCCGCCTGGCGCACTACAACAAGCGCTCGACCATCACGTCCCGCGAGGTGCAGACGGCCGTGCGCCTGCTGCTGCCCGGCGAGCTGGCCAAGCACGCCGTGTCCGAGGGCACCAAGGCCGTCACCAAGTACACCAGCTCCAAGTGAGGCGCGGCGCGGGCGCCCCCAACCCAAAGGCTCTTTTCAGAGCCACCTTCCAAGCTCAAAAAAGGAGCGAGCTCGCTGGTGTGTTTGATAGCTGCCATTCACTTTGTGTGCCCTGGGATGGGGGTGGGAGAGGGGGGACGTACTGGACGTGGCGATAAGACATCCCTTGTTTATAACGACACGTTAATAAACTGGTCTGGCTCGGTTTTGGCCGCAGAGAACGTAATTTGGTAGATGACTCCCGGGGAAATCTGGCATGGATTGCGCGTTGGGGTCGGCGGGGGAGGGGGTGTCAGCAGCGGGATCTCTCCATCCTCCCACCCTCCCCATTTCCCCCTCCCCGTGACCTGCAGAGTGCTATGTGAGGCTCAGGGTGATGCGCTCTCATGGCTGCTGTCTCTGGAGCCATCTTCTTCCATCCTTTCGCTCCCTCCGTTTGCTGGGATTAGCCTCTCCTAGCCAAAAACAGTTTAAGCAGGTCTTTTGTGTTTTGCTCGAAAGGCCTAACGGTGGGATCACAGCCCCAACTCTCCAACCTTGCCAGTAAGCCAAAACCTCGCCGAAGAGTCCAGCGTTTCATCCGTACGCGTTTTAAAACAATGAATGGTCCTTCTGTTTCATGTCTAGATATTCGTGTGTGTGTGTGTGCATGTAACTGTCATATAAATGTGTGTGTACATTAACAGAACTCTAGTCAGTGGTGAAACGTACTTTTAAATAAATTAGTACCTTTAAAGGAACAAAAAGGTACATAAACGCTGTATTCAGTTGTAGGTTCGCATTAATGTCTAAGGCTTGTAAGAACAGTCCAGACTCTCTTCCTCTAAAATTTAAATATCAGCGCTTCTTCACTGTATGTCGGAGAAGTCTGTCTTCCATGAGCCCCGTGGTCTGATTGCATGTTGGTTTCACCGGTGGACAATGGTGGTCTTCCTCACACACCTCCAGTGACCGTCACTCATTTGTCAACATTTAACCTCAGTGCTGGCTCATCCAGGAGAGGCCAGCCTTTCTATTGGTAATGTCTTCTTAAAGAGACAGCCTTTTCCCTCGCTCAAAATACCTGGTTGGTTCCCTAATAATTAGCGAATTTGTCTTGAACATCTAGTCGAGACTGGGGAATAGCAGTCTGAGCATTGTTTCAGACTGTAGGCCTGCAAACCCCTCGTCTTCCCCTCCAGCCTTACTAGCGTCAAGTTTTTCAGATCCAGAGAACTCGTCATTTGCATTTTCCTAATTCTTGTCATTATAGATTCTCATATATTTATTGTGCTCTACCTACACTCTCCAATTTCATATGTAACTGGAGACGCTGATTTTATATACAGTTGCTCTCAGTTTTCTAGATTATAAAATCTCAACAGCAGAGACAACTTTCTACATTCTTTGTCTCCTCCTTAATATTTACATTCTACAAGAAGACAAATCTTCCCCCATTCCAAGCTCAGGCTGCCCAAATAACACACCTGGGCAGCTTATTCTGAACTTCCAGGTTCTGTGAGGAGGAAAAAAAATGGAAAAAAAAAATTAAGCCATTGCATTATCTGCAATTATAAATGTGCTGTTATAGAATTATACTTGGAGATTGTGTGCTAGGTTTGATCACTGTTTTTTTTTTTTCATTTGTTTTGTTTTTTATTTTGTTGTTTTTTTTATTTTTTTTTTATTTTTTGGTACTAAACAATATTTAGGCTCATCTTTCCTCTGGAGACAAAGGTTCCATTTTATTAAAACCATGTCCTGCACTGGGCCTTGAAAACGCAACTGCAAATACTCGCTTAAAACTGGATGCTTGGGGCTGTTGAGATGGCTCAGGGGTTAAGAATACTAATTGCGCTTACAGAGGACCCGGGTTCAATTCCCACCACCTACATGATAGCTTACATTCATCAGTGATACCAGTTCCAACGGATCTGAATCCCTTTTATGACACCCCTCTCCTGACTTCTGCACAAACGTGGTACACATGAATGCAGGAAAATATTCATAGCTAAAGTCTAAAAAATGGATAGTTGAGCTGGGCAGTGGGAGGCACCATGCCTTTAATCCCAGCACTCAAGAGGCAGACGCAAGCACATCTCTGAGTTCGAGGCCAGCCTGGTCTACAGAGTGAGTTCCAGGACAGCCAAAAATGATCAAAAAACAAAAAACACAAAAAAGGATACTTTACTTGAGGGGCTGGCCATGCAGCTCTGTAGTAGGAAAAGCATCAGAGGCCTTGGCCATCACTGGGCATCAACTCACAGAGGATCACATTCAGCCTTTATAATGTGTCAGTCCATGGTGTTTTGTTTGGTGACAGGGTCTCATTATGTAGCTCTGGAACCTGATAGGCAGAACACACTGGCCTTGGGTGCACAAGATCTCCCTGTCTCCACTTCTCCCAACTGCTGCCATTACAGGTCTGTGTGTGTGTGTGTGTGTGTGTGTGTGTGTGTGTGTGTGTGTGTGTGTAGAGAAAAACGGACAGAATCTGTTGACAGGTCTTGCTTTTGATGACTGATTATGGTTTATGTTTTCAATTATAACTAAGGAGGAAATGTATTGGATAAGGCAGGTATGACAAGGTTTCCATTGCTCATTTCTCTCTCTCTCTCTCTCTTTTTTCAAGACACCAAGTGAAAGTAATGCTCTGTACCACACACTTGAATGCCCGTGCCCATGCTGTATCTGAAATAAGCTATCCAAGCAGGGGGTAGGAAGAGGCCTGAGACGCATCCGGGTGACGGAGAACCTTGGCGAACATGCTTAGAGGTCTAGGGTTCAGTCAAGCCAAGCCCTCCTCCCATCAAACCTCAGTGAGAGACTCAGGTTCACCAGCTACCAAAATGCAATGGTTCGTGTCTTAAACGATTGTCTACTGTCCTGGTGTCCGTTTGTTTGTTTGTTTGTTTAAAAAAAAACAAAACAACAACAAAACACCAAGATAACTTGACTGGCATGTTACATTTTAATAGACAATTCTGAAGAGCAGCAATTGGTAAAATGGTAATTGGTAAAATGGAATATACATACAATTGCTGTTGACAGAATTTGAGGCAGAGGGAAAAGAAGAGACAAATTCTCAGAGAAAAGGATCTGAAATACCTGTTCTAGAATTACTTCGACCTGACTCTGGTGTTAGACTCATGTTCCAATAGGTATTTTAAAGACTGGTTTAAAGCAAAACAAAACAAAACAAAACAAAAGCCATTTGCTTCTTTGCAGTTACTTGAATCTATGATTTAAAAAAAATACTTCAGAGGCTAACTTTAAAACACACACGAAGTTGTCAAAAATCCTTTTATGTGGACCCAGCTGGAAAGAGGGAGGTGGCACAGCTCCCAGGGAAGACATTTCCTGGCCTGAACTGCCCGTTAGCATCAGTCCAGATGAGAAGGGCTCCCTTTGACTGCTTGGGATTTTTTTTTTCTTTTTCTTTTTTTTTTTTTTTAAGATATTATTTCTTGCTGGAGATGTTGACAGGGCTCTCAATATTTCTCACAAATAACTATTAGTAATCCTTCCCATCAATTAATGCCAAACCAAGGGGAACGTTTTGCCCACAGGTAAGATTTCCTTTCCTGCCCAAACGTTCCAGATCAAAACGGCATTCTCCAAATAAATGCTGAATGTGGGTGGGGGGGGGGGGGGGGGGGGGGGGGGGGGGGCCTCTCTCTCTAGCGCTTCGGGGGGGGGAGCGGATGGCGGCTCGGGCTCTCCCAGCTCGGCACACGAGCCCTGCGGGGCGGGCGGCCGCGCCTCCCTCCGCGCTGCACCCCCACGGTTCCAGGGTTCCGCTGGCGCAGGACGCGCAGGGCTGACAACGCCAGGATGGCCATCTTCAGGGGGTCCAGACGCCTCTCCATTCCGAGAGGATGGGACAGGCTGCAAAGGCAGACACCCAGGACCCCACTGCCTCGCCCACCCCTGGGGCCCCTCGCCTGCCCGTTCTCTCCGCCCTCGGGAGGAGCAGAGCAGCCACGTCCCCGCGATCCCCACCCCGCACCGGCGACCCACACTGTGTTCAGGACTCTTTCAACGACTGGATGGGTGGCTCTGAAAAGAGCCTTTGGGTTGGGGGCGCCCGCGCCGCGCCTCACTTGGAGCTGGTGTACTTGGTGACGGCCTTGGTGCCCTCGGACACGGCGTGCTTGGCCAGCTCGCCGGGCAGCAGCAGGCGCACGGCCGTCTGCACCTCGCGGGACGTGATGGTCGAGCGCTTGTTGTAGTGCGCCAGGCGGGAGGCCTCGCTGGCGATGCGCTCGAAGATGTCGTTGACGAACGAGTTCATGATGCCCATGGCCTTGGACGAGATGCCCGTGTCCGGGTGCACCTGCTTCAGCACCTTGTACACGTAGATGGAGTAGCTCTCCTTGCGGCCCCGTTTGCGTTTCTTGCCGTCTTTCTTCTGCGCCTTGGTGACGGCCTTCTTGGAGCCCTTTTTGGGAGCTGGAGCCGACTTGGACGGATCAGGCATAGCGGCTGGCTGTTCTTGGGAAACGCGCGCGCCCGCCGTACCAAGTCTATTTGTACGCCTCGTATTCAAATGAAGGCTCAGACACCACTCGCTTTTGATTGAGCGAAGTTTCGCATTACGTCATCCCGGGGTAGGGAATATGCAAATCAGGAGTTGCCAGCTTCTCTTTCTGATTGGCTCCTTTGGCCGTCCAATAGAAAGGCGCAGTCTAGCCTCCCTTCTGATCATATATAAGAGCTTGCTGGCGCTCGCGGGCCCGTTACCCCCGGCTTGTTTTTCGGCTCGTGTGGTTCTTTTTTTCCAGCGGCGTTTCAAGATGTCGGGTCGTGGCAAGCAGGGCGGCAAAGCTCGCGCCAAAGCCAAGTCCCGGTCTTCCCGCGCCGGCCTGCAGTTCCCCGTGGGCCGCGTGCACCGGCTGCTGCGCAAGGGCAATTACTCGGAGCGGGTGGGCGCCGGCGCCCCGGTGTACCTGGCGGCCGTGCTGGAGTACCTGACGGCCGAGATCCTGGAGCTGGCGGGCAACGCGGCGCGCGACAACAAGAAGACGCGCATCATCCCGCGCCACCTGCAGCTGGCCATCCGCAACGACGAGGAGCTCAACAAGCTGCTGGGCCGCGTGACCATCGCGCAGGGCGGCGTCCTGCCCAACATCCAGGCCGTGCTGCTGCCCAAGAAGACCGAGAGCCACCACAAGGCCAAGGGCAAGTGAGGCCCTGCCGGTCGCTAGTGCGGCTTGACGGACACCAAAGGCTCTTTTCAGAGCCACCCACCACCTCGGAGAGAGAGCTGTACACACTTGAGCCTGTCGCCGGGGCGTTTGTCCCCACCCATCCTCTTGCAGGCGCCCGGTTGCGGTCCAGGTTCGTGCTTGGACCTTAAGGGCGAATACTTGGTTCTGTAGGAATTAGCGTAAGGTTCCGGAGAGCTGAGATGCTCCCGAGTTCCACGTTCCGATTTCCAGAGGCGTCTTGAGGAGGGACGTGGGTACTTACCTCTACGCGTCTGTGAACGTTCCGTCGAAAGGCGATTAGTGAGAGGGCAACTTGGAAGTTGGCTGGTTCTCGTGTCGGGGTGGGGGAGCGGCCTGCGCCGCCGCAGCCTGCTCAGTGGCAGGATTACAGATGAGCATGGTGGTCCGGCAGGCATTGGGAATCGGTTAATCTGATCCATCTAAGTCGCTTAACCTTGGGGAACAAAATCTTGTCGAGTTTCGACAAAACTAGGTTTGAGGGTGCTGCAGTGCCCTCTGTAATAAAGTTTAAAGGGAATCTGCATCTCGCCGAGTAAGATGTGTGTTTTTTTAGACAGATGGTGACTTTACAGGCGGTATGGAAAATGGCTGGAGTTCCAACAGCAGCGTGCATGCAAGTTAATCACCAAGTGGGCAAGGAGTCGAAGGAGATTAATCCTTTAAAATCCCACAGAATCGGGACTCTGTCCCCGCTTTCGTATTAATTGCTATTCGCCTTTAAAAATGTTAATACAGACTAGCAAGACAATTATATAATGTTTATTATATAATTTACACACACACACATATATATATAACCTACCAAAACTGGGTCTCTTCAAGCCTGGGCTCCCCAGACACTGTAACTAACTATAAAACTGTTAATAAAATGCCATTTGCCTAAGAATAAACAATTTTCTTAACACAATAGTTTAAAACACACACACACACTGCATATAGACCATCTGCAAATGGATGGTTTCAGTAAAAGAAAGGCTGAGGGTTGGACCTCCGGAGAGCTTTATGTTTTTAGCTAGATTCTGTGGTTTTAGCTTTAGTGTGTGTGTATTCAGAGGTCATTGTAGTTGCTTACACTCTGAGTAGCAGTTAAACTTTTTAGGAGTTGAGTAATGCTACCATTTGCCGGTGTTCCGGAGGCACTGAAGAGAGGCGTACTGTGATGGTTTCTCATCTCTTACCTCTAAGGCTGCTGTCAGAGGCACAACCACCACCCAAACAGGAATCTTTACCTTCCCACGATGTAAAATGTAATATAAAGCTACAGCTTGCCAGTTGCCCAGGAATACGTGGCCAGTAGATAGAGAGCACAGATTCCTAGGACAGCTCTGCTCTTAAGATCCGGTCATCTGGATTACCATTCCCAGAAATGGAAAGTACCAATAGCAGCTACCTTGAAAAGAGGATGTTCCCTGGATTCAAGTACTCCTCGGCCCACGCCTAGGTATACACCCAATAAAATAAGAATATGCATCCCACAAAAGCTACATAGATGCAGAACAGCAGCATTCATAAAATCTAAAAGATGGCGATAACCCAAATATTCATCCGCTGATGACTAGATTCAGAAACTGGTCTCATGGTGGATTATTAGTCATTGAAGGGAAGGAAGCCCTGATTGATGGTACAATATATGTGAGCCTCCATGTCCAGAACAGGCAAATCAGAGACAATAGGAAAGAGGGGGGAGAGTAGGTTCGGAACTTCCTTTTGTGGTCATGGAACACGGCACAGGTGATGGTCAGCACAAGAAATGGGCTAAATGTTTCTCAACTGCTCGCATGAAAATGGTTCACCACATCTTGTGAATTTCCCCAACATTTTTAGGATCCTCGGTGACTGCACTAAGAGGACAGAGAGCGGCTGGAGAGATGACTCAGGGAGGGGCTGTCTGTGCAAGCACGAAGACCGGGATTTGATTCCCAGAACCCACGTAATACAGGGCCAGGTTAGCGCTTGACTGTGATTTCCGTGTTTCTATGGAAGGTAGGAGAATCTCTCGAAGCTCACAGGCTGTGCTGTGGCACAGACAGCAACTATCGGGACCCAGGCTCAGGGTGGACCCGAGATTGTCCTCAGACCTTCACACATGCACGCCTGCGCTCATCCACACATTCATACACGCGCATGTATGCAGTGCACGCACATATGGGGGCGGGGCCAGAAAGAAGTCGGAGATGCATCCCAGTGCTTTCTAGAGTAACACTGGCCCATCTCGGGTAAAAGGGGGGGAAACTCTGGTACCGCAGCTGCCATCATCAGAGATGTGGAAAGGCAGGTGTGGACTTGAGCCTCATACTGCAGCAACTCTGAACAGGCCTTGGCAGTTAGCCTTGCCAGGACCTGTGTGGAGGCTCGGAGGGTTTCCCCTGGCCCTCTCTGAACACATGCCTACATGAGAATTAGTCCAACCACTCTCCATGTGTCCCTGTGCAGCACTGTTCACTGAAGACGAGAGAAGGTTCCAGAAGAATGCTGCTCAAGCCAACCTTGGGGAGATCGCCAGTTGTTTGCAGTGTGTGGGGGCGCTCCGCCTGGCTCTGCAGCACTCTGCTCAAATTTTAGGTGGGCTCTTCCCTCCAGCCCCTGCTTCCCACATTTGGTCTCTACTCTGTGGGCCACTTCGTGCCAGCTCACCCACATGTCCAATAATCGCCCACCTCAAAAAATTAAAAATAGACCTCGTGTATGATCCGGCTCTCCCACTTCTGGGCGTCTTTCCAGAGGAAATGAAATGTGGAAGAGACATATGTACTGACATGCTCATGGTGGCACTGTTGACAGCTAAGGGAGGAGACAAATGTCTATGCAGGAGCAAATGGAGCTCTAAGATGTGATATACACACAAATAAATACTACATAGGCTTAATTTTTCTGTCATCATGGGATGAACCTAGAGGACATTACAGTGCTCTTTGCCATCTGCAGGGGATCGGTTCCAGGACACACACACACACACACACACACACACACGCAGGTACCAAAACCTATGGGATCCTTATATACAAAGCCATAGTATCTGCCTATAACCTACAAATGTCTTCAGAGTACTTTAAATTAGCCATCATGACTCCTAGTACATATTCGACATAAGTGTAGGGTAAATAGTTGTACCAGGTTGATCAAGAATCATTACCATAAAGCTCTTTGCATGTTCAAGTAGGGAGGGCTCAGGAGAGGGAACCTGGACAATCAGCAGGGGCCGGCTGGAAAGTCATCAAAGCTTCTCTAGTAGGGTGATGGGGTAGTTCAAGGACCTCAGAGGCTGCAGTTTTCCATGCTGTCTCTCAAGCCATCCCCTGGGGTTCATAAGTGCCAGGCCAGTTGGCCTCGGGCTGTGTAGGCAGCTCGTTTCCTGTGTCGTGAGGAGCAGCAAAGCTGTGTCTAGGAGGCAGGGATCTCAGGCCTCCTTGCTGCACAACACAGGTCTGACTGCTGCCCATGGCGGCCCCTTCTGTTCTTGGGATGTCACCCAAACCACGGCTTCTACAAATCCAACCTCTTCCCCAAGCTGCATGTTTCCAGCACCTACTGGATACTCCCACCTGCTAAAGGCAGCCCGTCCTCACTGGCATCAAGGTTACATGAAGATTTCCTTCCCCTCTAAACAGATCCAACACACACAGATGATTCAACTCAAAAACAAAACATACCTGTTTTTAAGTATTTTTGAATTGCTATGACAAAAGATACACACACACACACATACACACACACACACACACACATAGAGGTAGGATAATTGGATCCATTAAAATGCAATCTACAGGATGGGGAGCAGTATTTTCAATAATTGATCAGAGATTAATAGCCAAAATTGCAAAGCTCTACAGCTCAATAGCAAACAACTCAAATTTTAAATAAGCAAAAAGACCCAAATGGGTCTTTGATCTTTGACATTGGTACAGCCACTGACCAATCACACCACACAGTGAGGAATCGCCTCACTCCTGTTAGGATGCTGTCAAGGGAAAAAACAAAAAACAACAACAAAACAGTCATGCCTCCTCTCCCAGTATTCTCTGCGTTTCTGCTCCTGTCCCACTTTCCAATTCCCCACATAACCTTATGGCCCTTTATAGCGCCCTACTTCTGCCTAGGGGATGAACTGCAACGTTGCGGCCAGCTCACCACCCCACAGTTTACTATCCTCGACTTGCTGACACCGGCATCGAAGAGGGCAGAGGGGCACATTTGTGTTTGTGATCGCTTCCACGTGCTGAGTGCGCCCGCTGTACACAGTGCTAAATACGCCTTTGGTAAGTTAATTTAACACAGGGTTTCGTCCCTGTCTAGTCGGTGATGCAGAGAGGGGACGACACTGACCTCCCACAGAAGGCAGATCGGAGCTGAGAGGGCAACACTGCCCGACCGCTGAGCTCCCCGCCCCATCCCTAACACCACGACCTAAACCCACGGCGTCGGTGCGGCTCGGGTTCCGACTGGGAGAGATTAGACAGGAAAGGGAAACTACAGGCTCTAGAGAGAAAAAGCTCCCTCCCAGATTCCGAGACACCGCCTTGCAGCTGCATGCTCGGCGCGGTCTCGCTGGAATGGAAAAACAGATGTAAGATGCAGGCAGTGGCGCCCGGAGGTGCAGCGCCCAGCTCGGGAACCGCCGCGGTGACGGCTCCGGGAGGTCTAGGGTGCCGGAGCGGAGGAGTATGCGCGCCGGGGCGCAGGGAAGGTCTGCGGTGGCTTCTGACGGGCGCCTGGGCCTCGGGGGCTGGCGAAGCGACGCGCTTTGGCTCCGGGACCGTGCGTGCTCAACGGCGGTTTCCCATTGGTCAGTCCGGAAGCTCTGGCTGATCCCATTGGCCGCCTGAGATAGGCCTGGCCCGGAAGGCTTATCTCCCGGGCGCGCTCGGGATTTCCGACCCCGTCTCTCGGCTGGCACTGGAGAGTGGTTCCCGGGCGCCACCAACGGACGACCCACGCCCTCCCGTGCGGACAGCGCCTCCGCGCGGCCGCGCCCTGGACACCGGCTCCCGCTGCCCCGCCTCGGCCTGCACCCGAGTCTGTGTTTAAACTGCCCATACGTGTTCTAGAGACCAAACTCCGTGATCGTCAGTGCGTTCCTGTTTAACCGAGTTCGTAAGAACGCAGCACAGGGTGGTTTCTGTCATGGCCTCGGCTCACGATTGAAATTATGTGGGTTACCTTTTTCATCCTCTGCCGGGGTCTAAGAAACCATTAATTACTAATATTGTTCGAACCCAGATTGTGGCCCGTGGGAGATGAGTGCAGGCCATGTCATCTTTGGAAGTCTTTGCTTCAAAAAGCGCTTTTTTTTTTTTCTTCAGATCTAAAAGTGTTTTATTTGTTTGATAAAGGGTCTTTGCAATGTAGCCTACGGTAGCCTCAAAATCCTTATCCTTCTGACGAAGTCCCTGCTTGCTGCGGTTATAAAGCATGGACCACCATGCCCTGCTATCGCTAGGCCTTTGAGTAATTTCTTTCTTTCCTTTTTATTAGCGTATGTTAACTGTGCTTAGCAATGGGTTTCATTTTGATAATTTCGTATTTGTACATAATATTCTTCGTATCTAGATACACAGCAGCTCTTTCCTTTTTCCTATTTCCTCTGGTGAGAGTCATTAAGAAAGGGCTTAAAGTATAGGTTCCCACTCTACATATGAAGGTAACTAGAAGCCGCTGTCTATGGTCCCCACCAGACACCAAACCTGTCTGCCTGTGCCTTGACTTTGCCATTCCCAGCCCTCAGAATTTCGAGAAGTGAGTCTCCTGTGTTATAAATTACCCAGTCTATCTAATTTAGTAACTGTGACATATGTGTAATTAAAATTTACTCTATTTTGTTTTGGGCCCTAGAACTGGTTTATAAGTACCAGAGCCTTAAAAAAAAAATCTAAGCTCATATATACATCTTTGCAAAAAATGGTCAGTATCAACATTTCCCTGAATTCTGTGAAAACTCAAGTATAAAGGTTTCTCAATGGTAAAATCAGTTATCCCACTAAACTCCATGTGAATTCAGTTTTCTCACATCAGATCCCAACATGTTAATGAAGTATGTTGGTTTCTCATCGCCTTTGGCTATTAGTCATAGCTTTCCCCTCTGCCACTGACAACTGGGTGCAGACTTTGAGACATGAGCCCATGGTGTAGAGAAATCTGGCATCTGGCAGGATTAAAGAGCGTATCTAAATGAGGGTCAGGTCAACTGTCTAAGGCAGCTATAGCATGCTCATCTAGTCAGAGCACAAATACGAACCAGCCACTACTTCCTGAGGCCACAATGAAAACAGGGTATTCAAAGGAAAGTGAGATCCTTCAAACTTAAGAAGCTTTGTAATCATGATATTTGGCAATCTGGTGGTTTGAACGAAAAAGGTTCCCATGGGGGCTCATAGGGAATAACATTATTTGAAAGAATTAGGACATTTGGCCTTGTTGAAAGAAGTGTGTCACTGGGGTGGACTTTGATGTTTCACATGCTCAAGCCAGGCCCAGGGTCTTTATCTCTTCCTGCTGCCTGCCAAGCCAGTTCCCTTTTAAGCACCATATCTGTGTGCCACCACGCTTCCCGACATGACAACAATGGACCTCTGAAACTGTAAGCCAGCCCCAATTAAATGTTTTTCTTTTAATAAGAGTTGCCTGCAGTAGAAACCTTAATTAAGACAGAGATTAAAAATAGGAAGATTCTCGGGGCTGGAGCTGGCTCATCAGTTAAGAGCACTTCCTGTTGTAGAGAATCCAGGTTTAGTTCCTACACCACATCAGGTGACTCACAAACTACCATAACTCCAGTTCCAGGAGTTCTGATGCCCTCTGGCCTCTGCCAGCACCTACACACAAATGGTGCACTTAAACCCACACAAGCACACACACACACACACCACATACAAATCCATACATCTTTAAAAAGTAATGAAGCTTCTCTAACATTATTAAAATTATTTCTGCTGATGCTAGACAGTTGTAAGTCGTACACTGAATGAATAAGAATTAGTCATTTATCATTATGACAAAAAAAAAAAAAAAGTAGCTCACAAACAAAAACCCCAGTATCACATTCCCCAAATAAGGATTTCAGATGCTACCAGAGACTTTGATAAGTGAACTATGTGGGCAAGGATGACTTTGGATTCTTGATTCAGCTAACTTTACCAGCCAAGTTGGGTGTTACAGGAACGTGTCAACGTTCCCAGCTTTCCAGTGATCGTTTTGAATGAAAGCTGGGGGTTGTGTGTGGACCAGCTAGAAAATAAGAAATCCCCCGGATCTTGAAAGTTGTCCTGTTTCCGGTTCTGGAAAATTGTGGGGCAAGGGGAAGGCCTGTTCTAGGAGGCTGTCACGGTTAACGTTCCATCGCTGTGAGAAGATACTGTGACCAAGAAAGCATTTAGTTGGGCGCTAGCTTACCGTTTCAGAGGGTGAGTCCCTGATCAACATGACAAGAAGGCGGGCAGGCGGGCAGCCGGCAGGGTGCTGCTTCCTTTCAGATATTCAGATGTGCAGGCAGGAGGCAGAGAGAGCGGAATTCAGCTCCCCGCAGGCTTTCAAAACCTCAAAACCCAACCCCAGGGTCACACCTCCTCTAACAAAGCCACACCTCCTAATCCTTTCTAAAACAGACACAACGAGGGGCAAAGCATTCAAAGACAGGAGCCTATGGGGGAGAGGGGAGGAATCTCATGTAAACCACCACAGGCTCTTTAAGGAAGAGGGATGTTGATCCAAAGTTGGGGCAGGGGTACAAAACAAAACGAAAAGGCCACATCTGTTGAGCTTGACCAGAGAGAACCAGTTCGGCTAATAATTTCTGATACAGCAAAGTTGGGAATTTGTCACGGTCCAATTTTTTTTTTTAACGATTTTTTTTAATTTTAAAAAATTTGTGTTTTTGTTTTTGTTTTTTTTTCTGTGTATGTATGTTTCGCCTGCATGTATGCTTGGTGCCACTTGCATGCCTGGTGCCAACAGAAGGCGGCGTCCGATGCCCTCAGACGAGTCACAGACGGAAATGAAGAATCCCGTGGGTGCTGGTGCAACTGGAAGAGCAGCCATTTCGCTTAACGGCTTCGCCACCTCCAGCCCTCGCCCTGCTTCTACCCGCCCCCCCTTAAACCATGGAGATTTTTCTGGTATCCCAGAACTTAGGAAAACTGTGCCTTGCATGCGGAGAGGCTCTAGAAGGTTCTTTGTGACTTGGCAGTTGAGGCAAGGTTATAACAACAAAAGGCTCTGCGAAAAAATGACTTTCAAGTTTTCCTAAAATCCCTTCCACCCTCCTATGGAGCCTCAGCTGACGGCTTTGGAGGCCACGCGGCTCAGAGAGAATATAAGGGGCAGGCTGTAAAGTAGAGCCCCAAATGGACCAATCAGAGCGCAGCATCCCATAATGGCACCTGGTGGGCAGCCAATAAGAATGCAGCCGGCTCTATAAAAGCGGTGACAACGCTCCACGCTCTGTCACTCGAGGACAGCGAAGACAGAAGTTCGGAACGATGGCTCGTACCAAGCAGACAGCGCGGAAGTCAACAGGCGGCAAGGCGCCGCGGAAGCAGCTCGCCACGAAGGTGGCGCGCAAGAGTGCGCCGGCCACGGGGGGCGTGAAGAAGCCGCACCGCTACCATCCGGGCACCGTGGCGCTGCGCGAGATCCGGCGCTACCAGAAGTCGACCGAGCTGCTGATCCGCAAGCTGCCCTTCCAGCGCCTGGTGCGCGAGATCGCGCAGGACTTCAAGACGGACCTGCGCTTCCAGAGCTCCGCGGTGATGGCGCTGCAGGAGGCCTGCGAGTCCTACCTCGTGGGCCTCTTCGAGGACACCAACCTGTGCGCCATCCACGCCAAGCGCGTCACCATCATGCCGAAGGACGTCCAGCTGGCTCGTCGCATCCGCGGAGAGCGCGCTTAGGGGGCGCCGGCTCCTGATCTCGCTCCCTCCGCTCACCAACCCAAAGGCTCTTTTCAGAGCCACCCACCGAGTCTGAAAAAGCAGTTGTGACCTATGGGTCCCTCGGTCTCCCGTGCGGAGACCGGAAGAAGGCGTCTGGGAAGCCGAGGGCCTGCGGGGACGGGCCTGGCGGTGGACACTTGCTGTTCGGCCCTCAGTTCCACAGCGTTCTAACCTGCCTTCGCTCGGCCTGGACCTTCGCGACAAAGTTGGCAGTGGTGCTGGTACCTGGCCTTGCCGAGGGAAGGCGGGAGCCCAGCTTCCATGAGCAGCGAATCCACTGCCACCACTCCGGCGTGTTTGCTCGCTGTGCTGGCTGGATACGACCTCCGTCATACTGCGGCTGCCGGCCGAGGAAGCCGTGTCTCTCTGCCTTGTATCTTAAGGCACACTTGCCTGCAGTTAAGACTGGCTCTTACGGTGCGTCGGAAGTTGGCCTTCTAGAGCAGAGAGTAGTTCAGTGTTTTATTAAAGTCTACTTCCTGTTAGCTTTGCCCATCTGTGAGGGCGGATAATGTGTTCATTTGGTGCTGATAACTATTTGTTTGGTATTTTAAACTACTTTTAAGTTTCTGTGGTTCCTTCTTTCCAAACGGAAGTAAACTTGGGATGGAAAGGAAGTGCAAAGGCCATGAAGAGGGGAGACCTTAGAACCAGGTATCCAATGCTACTCGCCAAGAGTCTGCTGGCTTCCTGCTGCCTGCTATACACATTTGCCGGGGAAGATACTGCCCAGGACACACTCCAGCGCAGCCTGCTCTGGGAGAGGCAGCGATCTACACCCGTGGCCACCATCTCCAGAAAGCCAGGCTGTCTAGCTATGAGGATGGCATCTTGGCATTAGTTACCCTTCTAGGGATCTGATTCCTGCCTCTTCCCCCTTTAACCCCATACCCCAAGCCTCATCTTTAGCTATCCAGTCAGTCTTTTGGGACTGAGACTCCAGGCATGCTGGGCCAGTGTCTCAAAGCCACCTGAGAACTTATTGGTGGTGACCAGCTGGAGAAGCTGAGGCAGGAGACTGGCTGGAATTTTAGTACAGCCTGTGCTACACAAGCTCTCACAAACAAAACCCTGCAGATGATGGCAGAAAACTTCCCTGCTTTCCACTGTCACAGCTGCTTCCTTCCTGCCTGGTCTAGGTGCTGACAAACCAAGAGAGCTAGGGCTGCCAACTCCAGGCCCAGGCCCCTGTCTTTAACCACTCAGCCCCAACTTATTGTGTGTGTGTGGGGGGGGGGGTCAGTGTAGCACTGGCTGTCCTGGAACTCGCTTTGTAGACCAGACTCACTAGTCCCCTTCCTGGCATATGTGTACAGCAGGCAGTGGGAAGCCAACAGAGATACGCCTGCTGGCTTTAAGCAGCCTGGCTTTCAGTCCCCATTTTCCTGGCCTCCATCCCTGTAAACCCCACCAAACTCTCCCTGAAGTCCCCACCTGGGCCACAAAAGCCCGCCTCTGTCCCCTCCCACCCCTCTCAGTCCCACCAAAAACAGCGAGCCCCACTCCTCATCTCTTTCCCATATCCATTGCCACACCCGTGACCACCAAAGCCCCATTTCTGTCCCCGCCCCCTCGTTGCTGGCCCCACCCCTCACCAGCGATGCTCCGCCCCCACCCTTTGATGTAGCGACCTCAGCCCCGCCCCGCTGCGTGAGTTGACGCCACAAAGCCCTTCTGCCCCAGACCCTGGCCTCTCCCAGTGCTGTGGCACAAACTCAGCCTTTCCTCAACGCGGGGCACCTAGCCCTGGGCACCTGGCGCAGTGCAAGGCTCCTTCCTTGTGAGTACTCGGAGAACTTCTGTATCCTCTGGGCTGACACTTAGGGGCCCCTCCTGTCCTAGGGCGCCATGACCTCCTGTCTTAGCCAGCCATCCTGCCCCCAGCAAAAGTCACACCTCGAATCATAGGCTTCGATCATGAACCACTGTGGGCCTCCTAGATGAGCCCTCATGGACAAAAGACCTTAAGTGACCCCGAGCTCTGTCTCTAGGGAAGCCAGGTCCCCTGCTTTGGCCCTGATTCTGACCCTGCTGTACCCCTTAGGACTTTTGAGGTTGGTTCCGGAGGAGCTAATGCCCTGTGCTCTGCTCACAGAAAGTTCGGATGAAATTAACGTGGCAGCTGCTCCAAAATATCAGAAGATGACTTGGCGTTAAGAATTGAGAAGGGGGGACAGGAGGGGAGCACTGAGTCAGCCACATTTCCTGAACTCTCAATAAGGACCTTAGAGAGCAGAATGGGGGACAGTTCAGGGTCTCCACAGCCTGGGGCAGCAGGACTCTAGGGGTGCCCTGTGCATTGAGCATGTGTTTACGTGTGTGTGTGTGTGTGTGTGTGCATATGTACATGCTTGCTTGTGCACATGTATGTTATATGTGCCTGCAGATGAGGCTGTGTTCACATGCCTGTGCTTGTACGATGTGTGACTGTGCTTGCACGTGTTTTCTGTGTGGATGTGTTCATGTGCAGTTACAAAGGTGTTTACCTGTGTGTAAGCTTGTATGTACACGTGTCTGCATGTGTCTTACCTGTAGCCCCTGTGTTTGTGTGTGCAAGTGTTTGTGCATCCATGCATCTGCATGGAGCCCCTGTGTTTGCTTTGTGTTGTGTCTTCTCTGCACTGCCTCAACTGAAAGGATCTCCATTCCTTTGTAAGCTTCTTTGGTTTACCAGTGATCTGTTAAAGACATTGTTCTGACTCTTGACTCGATTGCAGCCTTTTGGGGGTGGGCGTGTGGCCCTAGAGCAGAGGCAGGACTTGGACTGGCTTTCAGTCCCCAGCTTCTAAACTGCCCCCATTCCATTTTCCTGTCCTCCATCCCTGTAAACCCCACCATACTCTCGCTGAAGTCCCCACCTGGGCCACAAAAGCCCGCCTCTGTCCCCTCCCACCCCTCTCAGTCCCACCAAAAACAGCGAGCCCCACTCCTCATCTCTTTCCCCTATCCATTGCCACACTCCTGACCAGCAAAGGCCCATTTCTGTCCCCGCCCCCTCATTGCTGGCCCCACCCTCACAGCGATGCCCCGTCCCCACCCTTTGATGTAGCGACCTCAGCCCCTCTCTTGATCGCAAATAGCTCAGGAGCCCCAGACGGCCCACGGAGGAGCTTGTAGCTAAGCTGACCTAGACACCGAGTCTAGGCTTGGCAGTGGAGCTTCAGGGGGCTGGCTAGCATTTGGTCATGGTGTCTTTATAGCCCACTTTTGGCACCAGCTCTTCTCATCTGTGAAGGATCAAGAGGAGGCATGAATGCCGCGCAGGGTCTCCAGAGAGTTGGCCAGGGCACCAGCTCTGCGATCCTGCCTGCCTTTGGGGTTACAGTGGAAACCTTCCCCTTGTTTTTCCCCCAGGAGCCATGGATGCTATGGAACTTGCCAGAAGGTTGCAAGAGGAGGCCACATGTTCCATCTGTCTCGACTACTTCACTGATCCTGTGATGACTGCCTGTGGCCACAACTTCTGCAGAGAATGCATCCAGATGAGCTGGGATAAGGGGAAGGCCAAGAAAGGGAAGAGGAAGCAGAAGGGCTCCTTCCCTTGCCCCGAGTGCAGGGAGATGTCCCCTCAGAGGAACCTGAGGCCCAACCGCCTGCTCACAAAGGTGGCTGAGATGGCCCGCCAGCACCCCGGGCTACAGAAGCAAGACCTGTGTCAACTCCACCAAGAGCCCCTCAAGCTGTTCTGCCAGGATGACCAGAGCCCCATTTGTGTGGTCTGCAGGGAGGCCCAGGAGCACCGGACGCACAGGGTGTTGCCTGTGGATGAGGCTGCGAAGGAGTATAAGGTGACTACAGGGCCCGGGGCTGCATGTCCAAGAGGAACCTTGCTGGGCAAGGGGAAGTATGACCAGGGGCTCCTGATCCCTCGATAGGGAGGAGCAGCAGAGTTCTGTCAGGTCGGCCTCTCCTCAAGGTGTGAGAAATGTGGACCTTCACTTTACTGGTGCTAACTAGTGTGTGTGTGTTACATATGTAAATATATGTACATATATACATATGTATAAATATATATGGAGGTGGGGGGGCACACACCCTGGAGACAGCCTCAATAGGAATGTGGAGGTTGGAGGCCAAGGAACAGCACGCCCCTCAGAACAAAATAGGTGTGTGACAGGGTCTGCATGTTCCCAAGGGTGGTCTACAGCAGCCATGTTTCTACAGCCGCCACGCTTATTAATGAGTGAGTCAACCAAGCACACGGCAAGCAAAAGTAAAAACAAATAGTAGCAGATAAAAGTGGTAGATAGGTGGCAAAAATGTCATCAAATGAGTTGACGATGTCCAGCAGAGACAGTTGAGAGAGGAGCCTGATCAAGAGAAACAAGGCAACATCGTCAAGTCAAGGACTTAAAAATGCTAGCAGAATTGCCTGGGGAAGTTGAGGCAGTCAGCCAAAGTTTTTGTTTGTTTGTTTTCTTTTGGGTTTTTTTTTGTTTCTTTAAATGGAGCTTTCTCTCCATGGATGTGCTTCCCACGACTGAACTTCAGGCTTCTGTTTTTCCACTAGATACATTTTTATATCACAGGATAAACAACAGTGACCTCTGCTGGAAGCAGCTTGTCTTCTAGTTCCCAATAACACTTTATTTTTATTTTTTTAATCTTGGGCTATTTTGCTGTTTGGTTGTCTCTCCTACCTGTCACGGAGTTAGGGGACCAGCCCATCCTAGGACAAGGGCCTTTCCAAAACATGTTGACACAAATATGCCGGCGTAAGTCATATTTGTGACGGCGGGGGGGGGGGGGGGCAGTGCTTCCAAAGCCAGGTTCTCCCATGAGTTCAAGCAGCAAAGACAATTTACCATACAGGGTACATTCCAGTGGTCTAACCTCCAAAACCCAGGTCAAGAGAGGCTTTCCTGATCATCACGGCCTCTAGCTTAGGGCTCCTAGTCTGGCTTAGACACCGGAGCAGGAAAGCTGGACCCTTCTGCTATCGATTTATATGGGATCATTTGTTTACGTGTGTTGTATAATGGACTCTCCACCACTGAAGCAGATTTGGTTTGTTTGTTTGGGCCAGGGGTGGGGACCATCTTGTTCCCTGAACTCTCCCGTAAGGGCATCTCTGTGATCAGTGCACCCTCAGAGACCACAGGCAGTCCAGACACGGGCAGAGGGGGGATCTGCTGACCTGAGGCCTGTGTTTGTGTGTCCAGCTGAAGTTGGAGGAGGACATAACGTATCTTCGGGGGGAGATGATGAAGACAGAGACACTTCGTGTCAAGGAGGAACAGAGCTTAACTGAGTGGCAGGTGGGTGCGCAGCGGCCGCCGTTCCACCCTGTGTGCCCGTTCCCATCCTCACCTGTGGCAGGAAGCACCTTTCAGGGCGTCCGGTATCTGCTTGGCAGGAGGAAAAGGGTTCCTGTGCCCTGCAGTTTGCTGGCAGACCTGGGAATTAAGGTTACACAAGACAGGTAAACAGGATTTTAAAAGATGATTTTAATTGATGGTGAGGATGGGCCTCAGATGAAAAGTGAGCCTCAGTGGAGCCTGCTGGAATATATGAAGTTTGTCAGAGGACGAACAACCCCTTTGAAAAACTTCTGTCTGTAGATGGGTTTCCATAAATTACTCAGGTTAGCCTTGAGAGATGGCTCAGTGGCTAGGAGCACTGGCTGTTCTTCCAAATGGACCCGGGTTCAATTCCCAGCACCGACATCACAGCTGTTTGTACCGCCAGTTCCAAGGGATCTGACACCTTCACACTGATGTTCATAAAATAAGATTAAATTATATAAAAAGTGAAATAGTTATGACTACAGGTGAGCACTGCTACTGCACGTGGCTAGTTCAGACCTTTTCTTTTTAAAAATTATCTTCATTTTATGTGTATTGGTATTTGCCAGCATGCATATATACAATGTATATGCAATGCCCAACAAGGCCAGAAGAGGACATTAGATCCCCGGGAACTGGAGTTAAAGATAGGTGTGAGCCACTATATGGGTGCCTGGGAATCAAACCCTGGTCCTCTGGAAGTGCCCTTAACTGCTAAGCCGTCTCTCCAGGCCCCTTTTAAGAATTTTTAAAAATTTAGTTCAGATCTTAAATAGCTCTATTTCTTTGTTCTAGAATCAGGAAATGCTTCCATAAAATAAATGTAGGCCGTATCTTTGATTTTGGATACTGAGAAGGGCTGCAGATTGGTCCTTTCATGTCATAGTCCTTGTAAAGTGGGATCAGGAGGACAATATGAAAATGGCTAGTTAACGGCTGGTCATCTTACAGTACTTGTTGGGCCAGGATTGACTTCCTCCTGTTCACTGGAAATGGCTTCTGGGGTGGGGGAGGGGTTGGGCTTGGTGCATGTGTGTGTCCCCAGAACTCAAGGAGGCAAAAGCAAGATCTCCGTTAGTTCGTGGACTACACAGAGTGTCCCACGGCACCTCAGGCTACATAGGAAGAGCCTGTCTCAGAAGAAAAGGAAGACAAACAAGTACGGAACACACACACACACAAACAAGAGACAGACACAAAGAGAGACAGAGACACAAATGTTCGAGTGAAAGGGAAGGAGGAAGGAAGGCAGGAAGTTTAGCTGTTATCTCTGAAACTCTGATTTCTTATGAGTTTTGATCAACAGCTTTAGAGACATGGGTAACTCCATTCTGAGTTTTAATCTCATTGTTAGGAGACCCTGTCCTTTTTATGAGTGTCCACAATTGCTTGTGGCAACCCTGAGGAAATCCACCCTTTTGGGGTACATCTCATAGCACTGGTGGTCCCCACTCTGTAGGTGCTATTTTTTAAACTTTATTTGGGGCTCCTTAATCTTCTACCTCTCTTCCAACCCCCCAACCCTAGGTAGGAGAGAAAGGAGGTTAGACATGCTAGGGGATGTAGATCTCTTTAGACTCGGTTCCTTGAGGGCAATTCCAATCTTCGTAGTCGAGATATCCAGCAGTCCAGCTAACCAGCAGCAGCCTTCTTCCTTCTCTCTGTGCTCTGGTATTTATACCCTCTCTGAGTCCTCAGAGTTAAGCTTATCTCCAGCTGGCAAAGACCATGCCCCTCTCTGAGCCACAGGAGGCTGTAATCGGCTGTGGACAATCTAAAAGCAGCTCCATATTCCACACTCAGGATTAAACAAAAACCTGATTACATAACTTTTTTTTTTTTTTAAGAAACCCAAACTTCCACTACACCACTCCCCACAGGAGAGAGTGAAAGAGCGGAGAGAGCGTATCTTGGAGGAGTTCCAGAAGGTGGTCCTGTTCCTGGTGGAGGAGGAGCGCAGAGTCCTCCAGGTCCTGAAGGAGGAGGAAGAGTGCACCTTAGGGAGGCTGCAGGACAGCAAGACCTGCCTGGATCGCCAAAGCCGCTCCCTGGACCTGCTCCTGATGCAGCTGGAGGAGCGGAGCCAGCAGGAGCCCCTCCAGATGCTGCAGGTGAGCCCAGAGGGTTCCGAGGCATTTTTCCCTGCACTGCCACAAACGGGGTGGGGGGGGGGGGGGGGGGGGGGGGGGCGGGCGCACCATGCTGTCGTTGCTATGGTGAAGGCTCATAACAAAAGGCCCGCCAGCACCTGCCAGAGTAAATGAGGGCAAGCTGACTTTTTCACCACCCCTTATTTATTTCCCTTCCCCTGTGGCCTAATCACCTCTTAAGGGCCCCACACTGTGACTGCTCAACACTGTAACACTAGCAGTTAAATTCCAACCCAGTTTTGCTGGGAACACACTACATCCAGACAAAGCAGAGGACTATTGGGAAGCACCATGAACTCCTGTAGTCTTCCAGGCCAGGATGGTAATGGTGCTTGAGAAAGTCTGTAGATTCTGGGTTTCCAGACAAGCTCCAGGGACCACAGGCTGTCATCCCCCAAGCCCTCTCCACTGAACTCCCTGCCCTCACTTCTTTGCCCCATTGTCCCATGCACCCCAACTGGATCTGCAGCTGCTGGGGTCCAAAGAGGGAAACTCGGGACCCCTGCTCTCTCCTTATCCACAGCTTAACTTCCTGAGTGGCTTCACTTATGCTCAGCCTGAAAATAGTGAAGGGGAAAAAAAATCCAGATGTAAACAATCCATGCGTTCTAAACCGTAGCTGTTCTGAGGTGTGTGGTAAAAATCCACACCAGGGTGTGAATCACCCCTTTCTTCAATACATCCATGCTGTGCATTATTGCCAATACCTGCCTTAGCTATCAAAGCTACCGTGAGAAAATCTGTGGGTGTACAAGTAACACCACAGGAGCGGCCCCTGTAGGTGAAGCTCAAGAGAGTCCTGTGCTGAGGCTGCTTAGATGGACACACAAAGCTACCACAGTTCTCTGTTAGGGGAGCTCCTGCTCTACGGCGTTAGCATTTTCTGGGCCAGACTCAGACTACACTGTAACGTGTACACATCCGCACACAAAAGCATGGTGTCTGCAAGGACTTTGGATCCATGGCTTACTTGCCTCAGAGGGAGAAAGTACCAAATAAGGAGCTTGGGGGTGTGGCTCAGTGGTAGAGAGCTTGCTTAGCAGGGCCCTTACCTTCTGTCTCTACTCCTGAAAAGGTAAGTGCCCAGCAGGCTTCCCATGGCTTGTCTCCTCATCAACGCCTCCCAGACCCCAGGTTTGTGATCATGGACTGAGGAAATGCTTAGGGTCTGCCAAGTGGCAGTGAAAGGGAAGATTCCAGGGAGTGTACACAGCTGTTATCTGGGGAGGGAATGCCCAGCAGAGGACCTGTCCCAAAGTAGTGGACAACAGATACTGGCATTGATACTGGCAAGCAGGACCAGCTCTGAGCTCTCCTCCCTGTTGTTCGCAGGATGTGAAGAACATCTTGATCAGGTACTCTGTCACCCTCAATAGAGGATACTGGTGGAGGTGGGTGAGGGAAGGCCACATGGAGCCAGAGAAGACATGAATCTGTGTTCCCTGGAGGAAGGAGAACCTCAGCATGCAGTACCCAGAGGTGTCCCTCCCCGTGGCTATCAGGACCATATGCAGAGTTCCAGGACAGATAGAGGTACTCAAAAGTTTCCAAGGTAAGTGGAGACCTGGGTCTCAACCATGACCTCAGTTCTCTGGGCACTGCTCTGCCTTACCCAGCCACCACACAGGACCAGGGCTACCAACGGGAAATTAGTGTCTTAAACTGTACTTATTGTCTTTCCAAGTCTGATGAATTAAGTTGGCCCCATTTAGCCCTAGTGACTCACCATCATTGTCCATACGGATTTGGAGTATGGCACCCTGAGGTAATCTCAGCTGGGACTAGAGGGGGTAGGCTTTGGGGTGAATATGGAAAATGAGCCATTTGGCCACCATGTCCCACCCCGCCCATCTTGAGGGTTCTGGCCCTTCCACCTTTGACCTTGAATGACCCCAACTTTTCTCTGTCCACGTGGACCCTCTGCAGAAGATGTGGTGCCGGACCCCAGCTCGGCATACCCTTATCTCCTCCTGTACGAGAGCCGCCAGAGGCGGTACCTGAGCCCACCGCTAGAGAGCAGCCCGCCGTACAACAAGGAACGGTTCCTGGCCTACCCCTGCGCGGTGGGGCAGAAGAGCTTTTCCTCTGGAAGGCATTACTGGGAAGTGGGCATGAATCTCACCGGGGATGCACTCTGGGCCTTGGGCGTGTGCAGGGACAACGTGAGCCGGAAGGACAAGGTGCCCAAGTGCCCGGAAAATGGTTTCTGGGTAGTGCAGCTGTCCAAGGGGAAGAAGCACTTGCCGCTGTTACCCCACACCACCACTCCAGTCACGCTGGTCGAACCTCCCAGCCACATGGGCATCTTCCTGGACTTCCAGGCTGGGGAGGTGTCCTTCTACAGTGTGAATGATGGCTCCCACTTGCACAGCTTCTCCCAGGCTTCCTTCCCTGGGCCACTGCTGCCGTTTTTCTGCCTGGGGTCTCCAAAGTCGGGTCAAATGGTTATCTCCACAGTGACCATGTGGGTGAAAGGATAGAGGCTTGGGGCCGGGCACAGACTCTGAACGTGCCCTGGTTCCCCGGAAGGCAGGGTGCTTCACCACCGTGGCTACCTACCCAGGCTTCTTCTGGGGGCGCTAAGATTCAATTACCTGTGCTGGCAGGACAACCAACCGAAATTCAACCACGATTAAAATGCTCAAATGTGAACCGACCACTGATAAGATGCTAGCTAAATGGGGGAACTTTGGAAAGAGTCCCGACATTTCCGAGTGGATTAATTTCTAAATATATACCTGCTCATTGGGCAAGTTGGTCTTCTGTTTTGTTAGCTTTATCCCGCCCCAAGGCGTGTTAGGGGGCCCACCCACTCTGGCCCTCTTAAAATAATTAAGGCTCCCCTTACTCCCCAATCCTGTTACAAGTCATGAGCACCCCAGGAGTCAGGTGAGGCGGTGCACTGGCATGGCGCGTTTCTGCGGTGGTTTCCAGTGTGAGCCTTGTGGGCCCGCGGCGTGATGCCGCATCTCCTTCCCCATCCCGAATCACTCAGGTCTATCCAAGACACGAGGGTGACCCTGGAGGCGTTGAGCGAAACACTCCAGGGGTGTTGTGGGTCCAAGGTGAAAGCGCACAAGGAAACTGACAACTCCCTGCCCACCGCGCTCGGGTGCTTCCATGTCCTCGGGGTCGTCCTGCTCATCACTACATCCCTTTTGGAACCCGCGGCAGAGACCTATCCCCGCGAAAACGCGCTCTCATGCGCTAGAATTCGGTCCCACCCCCGGGCCGTGTGACAAGCAGCGACCAATCCAAGACAAAAGCGGCTTGTTCCAAAATAAATAATAAATAGAGCTCAGCTTCCTGCTTCCGTCAAGGTTCCCCTTCCGGCGGAAGTCTGCCAGCCAAAGCGCCGGGCGTACCCGCTACACCAGAAGCTGCGAGTGCGGCCCCCGCGCCCCCGCAGCCGAGTAGCCTGTTCCCCGCGCGCCGTGAAGAGCCTGATCCAGGCGCCGCCGCCCGCACCATGGCCGCCCCAGACCTGTCCACCAACCTCCAGGAGGAAGCCACCTGCGCCATCTGCCTCGATTACTTCACCGACCCGGTGATGACCGACTGCGGCCACAACTTCTGCCGCGAGTGCATCCAGCGTTGCTGGGGCCAGACCGAGGGCCCGTACGCGTGCCCCGAGTGCCGCGAGCTGTCGGCGCAGAGGAACCTGCGGCCCAATCGCCCGCTCGCCAAGATGGCAGAAATGGCCCGGCGCCTGCACCCGCCGTCGCCCGTCCCGCAGGGCGTGTGCGCGGCGCACCGCGAGCCGCTGGCCACCTTCTGCGGCGACGACCTCTGCCTGCTGTGCCCCACCTGCGAGCGCTCGGAGCACTGGGCCCACCGGGTGCGACCGCTGCAGGAGGCGGCCGACGACCTCAAGGTGCGTTCCACCGGGAGCAGCCGGCCCTGGCGTGGTCCCGTCACTGCCCCGTCTGGGTGACAGAGTGTGAGTCACAGATAACCCGATCCCGCGAGGGGGTCCGCATGTAGACTGTCTTATTCCGGGATGAGGGGCTCGGGCATTGTGGGGAAACTGGGTGTGGGTAGACAGGCCTAACTGGGCTGCGAGATCAACAGTTTGGCTGATGTTACTATCCCAGCGTGAACTCGGGTAACCAGAATAAATCAGGTACCAAGACTCCTTTGCTTTGGATTTTGGCACAGAGGTTTGGAGCTTATAAACATCCCTGTGATTTTTCATTTTGCTTACTCCCTAACGGAATCATGGGTCCAGCGGGTTTACCTTCCTGCTACCGCAAGCCTTTCGATGGTGCGGAAAGGAAGCTGCATTTCTGCAGACGTGGCCTGACAGATCCTGGAGGAACAGCCCTAAAGCTGCTCTGTTGCAATAGGAGAGAGCGCTTCCCCTCTTCCCTGTTAGGTTCATTGTCTGAGCAATTAAACTGACAAGACAGGTCAACAGGAAAAAAAAAGTTGCTTCTTAAGTAACATTTTGACTGTTTCTCCAGCACAGTGCTTCACACCAGAAAAAAGAAAGAAAAACTGGGAGAAGCAGTTGCGCTGGGGCTTTTATCCAGAAGGGTGTAGAGTTACAAAAGATCTAGACTTCCAGGTCTCGGCAGTTTGGGCCTGACTAGGAAATTGGAAGCCAGCCGCAGAGCCAGGGTGTCTCACCCCTGCAGAGCGTGTGTTCTGCCTTCTTATGTGTGAATCCTCACCTCCACGTGGTCCTCATAGCACGCTGGCAGGGTTGGGTGTGGGGCACAGCCTGCTTTATGGTGACACCAGGAAATCAGCAGATGGCTTTTACCGAGTGGGTCTGCAGTGAGCCGTTCCACCACTCACTGGAGCTTGTGATGGGGATCCCCTCGGCCATGCTGGCCTCCACGGCTCTGGTGACAAGTTCACTCTTTGACTGTGGCCCTGGGATAGTGGTATCCAGAGGGGAGCCTCCGGTTCTCCAGCAGAGCCAGAGAGATGGGCGGAGGGTTTACACAGGCCGAACTGGGGAGCTGAAGGGAGAACCCAGCCGGGTCCCAGGGCCTCCTGGGTTTCACCCACCTCTCACCACACCCAAGGTAGGAAGTCTGCATTGTGACCCAGCCAGGGGTAGGTTTGTATGTAACCAGAACTTGGGGTCTTCACCGAAGTGTGTACCTGCTGCTGCTTCATGGGTGTCGAGAAAAAGGAGAGGTGGCTTGAGTGGTTAAAAGAGCTTACTCCTGCTGGGCAGTCCACGGCTGCCTGTAACTCCAGCTCTGAGGGGATCTGACATATCTGGCCTCCACAAGGCATGTGCATTCAAGTGCACACTCCACTTGCTGACATACATAATCAAAATGATAAAGAAGAGTTATAAAAAAAGAAAATGAGAAAATGGCTGCACGTGGTGGCTTATTTATGTCATTCCAGCTACTAGAGAAGCTGAGACAGGAAAATCAAAGTTCAGGGCCTACTTGGGTTACATAGTAAGTGTGAAGGCAGTGGTAAGACCCTGTTACAAATTAAAACAGAGGGCCAGATGGAACTCCGTGATAAGGCACTTCTTAGCATGCACCAGGTTCAGAGTTTCAGGAGAAAAAGCTGGAAAGACTCAGGCAGAATTTGGAACACAAGCTGGAGGTGTGCGAGATGATGGGGCCGAGGAGCAGGACAGGGCCTGAATGTTCTAGAATTAGGCAGCATCTGGGATAGGCCTGTGGCCTCTGCCATAGCCCTGATGCAGACTGAGCCCAGCCGGCAGCTAGGTTCTGCCCTGAGCTGACTTCAGGGTCTCCCTAACACTTTGTTCAGACCTGGAGTTGATAAGGACTGGATTGATGGAAACAGACCCTGGGGGAGACAAGCGCATATAAGAACGCTCACCATTCTGTGATACGCAAACCTGTAAGAGTGTGGGCATGGAAAGTGGATCAGGTCCAGCCTAGGAAAATACAACCAGGTGGTGAGGGACTCCGAGGAAAGGTAGTGTGAGAAGTCATCTAGATTGAACTCCCATGGTATATTCCCAGCTCCATCTTAACCTCAGGCAGCTGTGGCACACAGCCCTGGAGGCTGCCCAAGATCAAGGCATGTCAAGGGCTGCTTCCTAGCTACAGATGGTCCCCTTCTGATGTGTTCTCATGTGGAAGAAGGAGCAGGAACTCTAATCCCATCCAGAGGGCCTTACTCTTGTCCCAGTCACCTTCCAAAAGGCAAACCCATCACCTAGGTGGTCAAGTATTTAATTTAGGAATTTTTGGCGTCGACATACACACACCTTAAGCTCTGACATGCTGTGAGCCCTTGTGACCACAGATGGAAGGAAGAGGAGGGGAAAATGGCTTGAAGGGAGAGAAGCTGGGTAGGTCTTCAGTGCCATCTTGGTGGGGTGTCCTGTTGAGAGAGCTTGGCCACGCCTACCAAGCATGGAACAAGCTGTGTGCTTTGCAGAGGTGAGCACGGCTGACAGAACCATGGGGCTGAGAATGGAAAATGAGAAACTGACGTTTGAGGAATTTGGGGGAGGGGCTCTGAGCCTTGGTCAGGAGAGGGCATACTGCCATTGTATCCTACTATACACTGTCTGGACAAATTTCATTTGGTCCAATGGGGAAGAGGTTGGAATAGGAGGTCAGGAGGGAAAAGGCAGACTTCTGTGTCTGGGCCCCACCTATAGGGCCTGATGCCTCTTGGGATTCTCATGGCACCGCGTGGTCTCCATCCTACCAGGGGAGGCTGGAGAAGTCACTGGAGCACCTGCGGAAACAAATGGAGGAAGCGATGCTGTTCCAAGTCCAGGCTGAGGAGACCTGTGCCTTGTGGCAGGCAGGTGCCGCGTCTGGGATGAAGGAGGGAGCAGTGAGTCAGGAGCTGGGTGCCACACTCGCCTCCCTGAGACACCCTGTGGTCAGGCGGGGATGTGTGCGTGTAATACAAGATGCCTCAGTCCGTCTGTCCTTCTGCCCTGCACTACGCGCTGGTGTGCTTGAGTTCAGGGTCACAGAGTGAGCAGGCCTGACTGTTAGCAAGGACAGATTTGGATGAATGTCACGAACAAGCCAGGAGTGGGGAGGTCTCCAGTAGGGATTTGGGGGTCAGGGAGGCATTGGGAATTGGGGTATATTTTAGTCTGCCTAGATATGAGGTGGCAGCTTTGTCTGGCTGACACCGAGGGACATGCCTGTGTGACAGACGCTGGGTGTGGCTGGTCCCAGGAATGGATCTTGGGTCTGAGGGCTCAGGGGGTGAGTTTGGGTTGTGAATAGCCCAGAGTGGGAGCTGTGTATCTGGGCAGCCCCAGATGACAGATCGGGTGTACTGGCAGCTCTTGGGGTCTAGGCAGCTCCTGGTGCTATAGTCTGTGAACAATCAGGCTAAAGTGGTGGATTTGGGGTATGGGCATCCCCAGGTGGTCGGTCTCTAGTCCAGCCTCAGGTTTCGCCCTCAGCTGTCCCTCTTGTGTCCTGCAGAAGATGGTGGAGAGCCAGAGGCAGAATGTGCTGGGCGAGTTTGAGAGGCTGCGCCGCCTGCTGGCAGAGGAGGAGCAGCAGCTGCTGCAGAAGCTGGAGAAGGAGGAGTTGGAGGTTCTGCCCCGACTACGAGAAGGTGCCTCGAGGCTTGGCCAGCAAAGCACACAGCTGGCAGCCCTCATCTCAGAGCTTGAGAGCCGCTGCCAGCTGCCCGCCTTGGAGTTACTGCAGGTGAGTGGGCTGTCCGAAAGTCCACAGTTCTCCCGAGGGGAACATCGAGTGTGCACCCCTACCGCCTGAGCGGCTGCTGGTCACTCTGCTTCCTCCCAGAATCACCTTCCTGCTGCAGGGCTGCCGAGGGACCTGCAGTACATGCCGAGTCCCAGCCACTTGCATGCCTTCTGCCTCCCCCACCGATCACGTGCAGGCCCTGGATATGTCACACCGTGCTCCATAGGAGAGGGAAAGGGAAGAGGGAGCTGGTAAAGGATTCAGAATGAGGAAGCATTGGCAGAGCCCATCCATAAGGGACTCAAGTCTACAGGGAGCCTGCCTTGCCCATCTCTTCTGTAGGCACCGCAGCAGCTAGGACAGGTGCCTCAGCGTTCTGTCCCCCACCCCAAAGTGTTCTTTGGTATCCATAGAGGTGATGCCAACTCCCCAGGGCTCCCATAGGGGTGTTCCAGTTCACTAAATAAAATGGTTCAGTGTTTGTGTACCAGCTAGTCATCCTTTGCTTGGCTTTGGTCACTGCTAGCCGACCTGGGACTCTGAATGTTCTGAACACGCTGGCAAATAACTGCCGTGCTGTATGTGACGGGTAATGAGAAGGGCAAACGTCATGTGTTCAGTCCAGATGTGATTTTTACTTTTGAGCCAACAGTTGGTTGAGCCTGCAGATGCAAAGGGAGGGCGTACGCTGAGGTGGACCACGTAAGAAGCCCTGCATTCGGCTTCTCATTTTCTCAGGCTGACCACAGTTGCTAGCCTCAGTGGACACAGCAGAGTGGACGTGGCACAACCTGTGTGCTTTAGGGGCCAGGATGTGACTTGTTTAGCTCTGAGGGATGCTATCAGCCTCTGATAGGGGCTCTGAGAATCCTCAGGACAAATCACTTCAGGAAGTCCTCTGCATAAGAACTCACGGCAGGGATTACATTCTGATATGTGTCATGAGGGAGACCTTCAGACTATAGCAGGTTCCTTATTTATTTATTTATTTAACTCCCAAGGGGTTGGGAGTTATCCCCAAGGTATGAGCTCCAGCTCTGCTCTTCCCTGGATTTTGGCTTCTCTTCATGTTTCCAAACCAGAACACTTAGTTCCTCTGTCTCAGGGTAGGCTAGATGACCGTGAAGAGTATGGCTGTCGGTTCTGGGGCCCTTCAGCAGGCTCAGGGCCTTGGTCGTCCTCCCCCCTTCCCCCCCCCCCCCGTTTGTCCAGTGGGCATTGATGAGGTTCAGGGGGTGACTGCTGAGAGGTCACATACAGGCTGTGAGGTCCACTTCCTTAGGGGCTTGGCCACGGTTTGCCCACTCCGTGCCCCAACACCATCTACCTGGTATATAAATACGGGGGTCTGAGAGCGAGTCTCCCGTCCATGTAGGACAGAGGCAGTGTGTTCCCTCTGGGGCCCAGGTGCCGGGTACACAGCAGGGACTTCCTCCGGGAGGTAGCTCACTGGGAAGAGACACCTAAGGATTTCAACCTTTACCAAGCTGTCATATGGTTCAAGCCTGACAGAAAGAAATAGCTCCTGGAGGGGAGGACTGGGGGGAGCAGAGAGGGATGAAGACAGGGCCATAAGCAGGGTCGCTGACATCCAGGAACTGAAGAGAAGCCCTAGGGTATGGTGGAGCGCGGAGAATGCTTGGTGTGTTTGCCTGGCAGCTAATAAGCGTGGTGTTTCCGGGGTGCCGTGTGTACAGCCTAACTACTGATGAGATCAGGGTCACCCACGTGCCCCTCACCTGATGTTTTTGTCTTTTTCTGTGTGCGGAGCTCATTCCAATCTCGACTCAGGGAGAAGGGCTCACAAGGCCCTGCCCCTCCTTGAAGATGTGTATGCATTGCTATATGTTGCTAGGGAAAGGGCCACTTTGGGTTTTTTGTGGTGTAGCTGCCAGTAAGGGTGCTCATTCTCTGATAAGCACCTAGGGAGACACACGGATACAGAGGGAAAACCAAACCTGTCTTGTGGCACGTCAGACATGGTAGCGTACAGATTGCTGACCACAGTCAACCTGCTGGGCTGTAGGAAAGCAAAATGCTAGAAAGTTCTAGGAAGAAGGGGTGGCTTGGAAATGGGGGTGTGGAGGTCTGTGTGAACACCAGATTTGGATCCATTGCTGCATGTGCTGGCTCCAGCCATCCAGTCATATTACACAGCACCATGCTGCCTAGCTGCCACCTGTGCCCCCATTTTTCACCACTTGTGTCCTATTCCCCGCTGTTCCCCACCTGCCCCTCTTTCCACTGCTCCCTCCTTCCACCAAGCCTGCTGGGAGAGCTTGTGCTGCATGCTAGCTGGGTTATGCCCACAGCTGGGGGTTAGGAGAGAGCCCTGGCTTCATTCTGTCCCTGAGAGCTGCTGTTCACTGGCTGAGGTAAGGGAAGGAGGCTCCTCTCAGCTCCAATTTGCAGGGTCCTTCTGCCAGGTCTCTATGGCCTGATGTGGTCACATATGGCCTTCTTGGCAGGTGTCACTCAGAGATGAGGGTTGGAGGACATGGAACCCATCTATAGATGCTGCTAGTCCATCTAGGCTGACGTGCAAACACAAGGTGATTTTCCCCCCTGAACAGATGTGTCTGAGGAGGCCCCTTCCCCAGTAAGGAAGGCCTTGTGCCATCCTTGCCTCAGGCAAGGGGGACCAAGGAGATTGCTGCTTTGCCCACACCAGGCACGCTGTGCTCCAGGCCCCTACACATGTCCTTATAAGGGATTTTACCTTTGGCTTCAGAGTCCTCCCTTTTGAGGCCTTTGTGATTTGTTGTCCCCCAAACAACTAACAACTTGAAAGCACCTATCTGCAGGGACCGTCCCACCTTGGCAGGGGCTGTGTCTTATTTATCATGTCTGGGTCAGAACAGCTAAGCCTTGTGGGAGCTGGCTAACGGCATGTCACTCAGCTGCGTCACTCAGCTGCCCTGACACATGAGGTACCAGAGGCTGAGTGCCTTACAGAACTTATGATGCTAGGGGCTACAAGCAGAGGATGAGGGTGTCAGCGGGGTTAGTGTACCAATTTATTTTGTTGCTGTGGGTGACACCTTGGCTGTCATGTTGTGATGATGACATCATAATGTAAGGACTTAAAGGAGGGAGATGGCTCTGTGAGACAGGAAAGGAAAAGGCCAATGTGCTCTTATAAGAGCTAACCAGGGTCCGTGTGAACTGTGTTATATTAATTCCTTCCAAGGGTAAACCCCCTTGACACACACACACACACACACACACACACACACACACACACACACTTCTTTTAGGTTGCTCCTCTTAAAGTTCCACCACTTCTTAACATCTTCACTGGGCTAATTTCTGCCACCACGTATCTAGGAAGACAGTTACCACAACCAAATCATAGAGGTTGGTGTCTCTTGAGGCCTCTCTACTGGTTCAAAGACCATGTTCCCATCTTGTCCCATGTTCTCACCTGTCACTCCTCTGCACGTCTCTCCAATACTGTTGCTCTCCATCATAGCCTACTGGAGTGAGAGAGAGATCTGGCTTGGCAGGGAGCTTTTGTTTCCCTCGGTGTTTGGCAGGAGTGGGCAGTGGGAGCAGGCAGTCGGAGGCAACAGCACATGGCACGCTGCTGTCCTTGAGTACAGGCCTTGGATCTACAAGTGTTACTGTTCTTGTGGGCCTAGGAGTGGAGACTCCTCCCCCGCCCCGTTGATGGCCGAGCTGCAACTTCCGGGCAGGCCTTGGCATCAGGATTCCTTGACCCATAGCACCAGCAGCCCGTAACACGGACACTTAGCCCAACGTCTCAATCAGACCCTTGACTGCAAAGGGTCTCCTGGAGGCCTGAAGTTTCTTAAGTCCATTTGGTTTTTAGCTGAGGCTCACTGCCCTCTTTCTTTATCCCTCTGTTTACTGCCACCCTTCTTCCTTCTCTGGCCCCTCAACTGCTGCTTCACACTCAGCCAGCTGACCGGGCAAGACCTACAGTCTATCACCAGCTCAGCCTATGCCGATGAAGTTAGGTAAGAAGAGACCACTAGGAAGGAGCTGCTACCTAGAGTTCCTGTTATAGAAATCTCTTACAGGCTGTTGTTGCTGGGGCTGCACCTTCAGGAGCAATGAGGGTCTGTTGCAGTCCTTGCATAGTTGTGGACTGCACGGAGTGCTGTGATGACATGGTTAGGGCAGCTGCCAGTTTAGGGAATAAACTGCCCATCCCCCAGTGTGTTTGCTTACCTACAACGTTAGAAGTGCAGTTAAGACTTGAAGCTATTAGCATCAACTGATTTTTTAAAAGAAATTTTGTTGATTCCCTAAGGTTTTTTTTTTTAAACATTTATTTATTTAATGTATATAAGTGCTCTATCTGCATGTACACCTGCATGCCAGAAGGGGGCATCAGATCCCAGTATAGGTGGTTGTGAGCTACCATATAGTTACTGGGAATTGAACTCAGGACCTCTGGAGGAGCAGACAGTGCTCTTAAATGCTGAGCCATCTCTCCAGCGCCCGATTCCCTAAGTTTCTTACATGCAGTAGATCTTGAGGAAGTCCACCCCCCGCTCCTGCTTCCACTCCCCTTGATAGCCCCCTGCACATGCTTTTGCCACCTTCTTGTCTTCCGTCAGTCTCTTTTATTTAAGTGATCCACCGAGTCCAGTGTGTGTTGCCCATGTGCACTGGGCAGCCTACCAGCGGCCTAATGCGCTCCTCCCCGGCTCGTGCTGGACTTGCTGGCTGGCTTGCTCTTGGCCAGGTAACCGCAGCTACCGTGAGTTCATAAGTCATGTCCAGAAGACAGCGCTTCTCCCCTCCCCCTCCAGCTCTCACATTTTTCCCTCCCCGCTCTCCGATGGCACCCCCTGAGGACTGTGGGGATATGCACGCAGGCATAAATGGCTCAGTCAGGGTTGAGCGCTCTGTGGTCACTTATTCTTGGCACTTCGACGAGTTTTGAGGCTCTGCATGACTGCTGCCCGCTGGAGAAAGAGGTTGAGAGCAGCGCTTCTCTGGGGGTGTAAACATAAGTATTCGAAAGCTCTTTGATAAATGTAATAGGTTCCCCTCTGGGGCTTATGACGTCCCCAGCCTTACCAGGCATGAATCCCTTCCTCCTGGAGAGCAGTCCTCAAATCCAATGAAAAAGCGGTTCCCTACCCCCTAGCCCCCATGCCACTGTTATAGCCGTGGTCACATCTTGCCTCGTAGGTGGGCATTGCACCAGGGCCAACCTCTTAGTGAGTCCATCGATGACTTTGGTACTCAGCCAGCCACCAGGGAGGGAATTTCCAGGTCAGTCCAACTTGGTTTCTCTATGACCTACAACCATGGTGTGTCGTGTCTTCAGCGATAGGAACTCACCTTCTGATTACGGTGGGTAACCAAGAACAGTGCTAAGCCTGCGTGTGGGCCCTGGCTGGATAGTAATCTGGACAGATGGCTGCATCTTGAAATACAGTTACATTCCAAGGTCTGGGGAAGGGAGGAACACAGCTTGGTCCCTGACTGTGAGATAGCCGTTGTGGATTAGATAAGTAGACACCTGAAGGAATAAGGCCAAGCTGGGGCACCTGTAGAACACTGTGGCGTTTGGGGGAAGGTATTGGAGAAATGGGTGAGAACACAGCGGGGTCACAGGGCTGCACTCCTAGTGAGCAGCCTGACCTTACACGGTGCACTCCATCTAGGGGGCAAGAACACACACCCGCCGGGCCCTAAGAGCGGCAGGGGGTCCACTTGGGAGTCTGGATGGAGTCGAGAGTGGCCCATTGTTTTCTATACATGAGAGGAAAAGGCAGAACTTCATCTCAACCTGGCCTCCCCCTCTAGGAGATATCTCTAACAGGGCTCTAGATCCTCTCTTTATCTGGGCATTCCTGTACCTGGGCTGTAATCAGACCCACTTGTGTGTGTCTCTCACCTGGGGCTGCAGTGATCTGGGGAGAACCAGGACCAGGTAACAAGCCTTGGCACTGAGTGTGTACTTTCTTCTTCCTACAGGACATTAAGGACGCCCTGTGCAGGTATGAGCCTGGGCTTCTGGGCAGGATGTGGGTGGGGCCCAGCGGCTGTCCCCAAGCATGAAGCTGAGCTGTCCCATGTAGGGTGCAGGATGTGAAGCTGCAGCCTCCAGCAGTGGTGCCCATGGAGCTGAGGACCGTGTGCCGGGTCCCAGGGCTGGTGGAGACCCTGCGGAGGTTCCGAGGTGGGTATACAGTCAGTCCTGGGAGGGGGCTGTCAGGAGCCCCAGGGCTTAACATGATTCAGTGGCTTAGAGCAGCAGTTCTAGAAGCTTCCCTCTGCTCTAGACATGTTCCCATGTGGATATTTTTCACACCAAGCAGTTCTCCATCAGGCCCAGCCCCACAAGACTGCCCCACTTCAGATGCCAATTGCACGACCCAGAGAAATGGCCATATTTGTCCCCCTACTCTTACTCCAGAATCCTCACAGCCCCTGCCTAATGTTAGGTCATTTGCTAGGTGGCCCACAAAATCGTAGAGATTCTTTGCTGAGTATTAACAGTTTGTCATAAAAGCTGCAGTTGAGGAGGAGATGTGTGGGTAAGGCTGGAGGACGGGCATGAAGCCTTCCCGCCCCCACTCCACCCCACCCCTTGGGACTTGGATGAGTTCCTCAGCTCAGCGTCCCCTTGGGCCCCACCTTTGAGGGGCTTTTAGGGATGTTCGTTCTGTGGTCATAGTGTGCTCATTGTGAGCAAGCTTGACCCCTGGCTCCTCTCCTCTCCCTGGAGCCAATAAAAGAGGCTGAAACTCCCATCCTTCTGTCCCACAGCTGGCTGGTAGGGACCAGCCCCATCCTGAAGTTATCAACAGGCCCCACCTGAGCCACCTTAGCAACATATGTGACATAAGGGTGCTCTCCTTAGGGTTGGCAAAGCAAATTTTTACGTCTTCCTCTGGAGCCAGGGACGGACTCTGTTGCAAGCGTTGGCTGTCCAGGGGACAGCTGCCCTTGGTTCTAGCCAAAGGTCAACTGAGTGGGGACCATGCCCAGAGATAGGTAGACCAGAAATCACCTGGAATGTGGTCTGGGAGGAAAGAGCAACCCTCTTCCTGAGCAGGTCTCTGTATTGCCTTGGGAGGCATCAGAATGCTGTGGGGCCCCGGTACAGCCACACCCAAACCCAGTGTTCCATTGGAGATCAAAAGAAAGAACAAACATAGAAAGTGGTCAGGACATGATGGGGGCAAAAAATCATCCTGGACTATGTAGCAAGCCCATCTTGGGCTACATGAGACCTTCTCTCAAAAAAAAGCAAACAAAAATGCAGTCAGAATACCTGCCCTCTTGTCATCAGAAGCAGATGCAGGACTGGTTTCTAGAACATTCTGAGTTAAGATAGAGCTAGGTATTTTTTTTTCCCTGGGAGAGGAGGTACTCCAGTAGGGATAGTTACTTTAGCCCGAGGCTCCAGCCAACAGCCGCCTGGGCTAGCAGGAACGATTTGGCTCATCGATAAAGCCTTGAGAGCTGCTTGGGAGTCTGGTTGACCTTGGACCTCTCCGCAGGGGACATAACCCTGGACCCAGATACTGCCAACCCGGAGCTGGTCTTATCTGAGGACCGGAGGAGTGTGCAGCGCAGCGACCAGCGGCAAGCCCTGCCTGACAGCCCAGAGCGTTTTGACCCAGGCCCCTGTGTGCTGGGCCAGGAGCGCATTACCTCTGGCCGCCACTACTGGGAGGTAGAAGTTGGGGACCGCACCAGCTGGGCACTTGGTGTGTGTAAAGAAAACGTCAACAGGAAGGAAAAGGGGGAGCTGTCAGCTGGCAACGGATTCTGGATCCTGGTGTTCCTCGGGAGTTTCTATAATTCCACTGAGCCGGCCTTCTTTCCACTACGGGACCCTCCCAAGCGTGTGGGCATTTTTCTGGACTATGAAGCTGGCCATCTCTCATTCTACAGTGCCACAGATGGGTCACTGCTGTTTATCTTCCCTGAGACCCCCTTCTCAGGTACACTCCGACCCCTCTTCTCACCTTTGTCTAGCAGCCCAACCCCTATGACCATCTGCAGGTTGATAGGCGTACCTGGGGACACCCTTGGTCCCCAGTGACCTGGACCCTCTGGGAGAGTCCCTTCACCTCTCCTGGTCCCTTGTCCTGGCCATGCAGAGACCCAGGAGCCAGCTGGCACCCTGTGAGCATTAGGAGGAGCACACAGTGCCTTTCTGACCACACGTGGGAAACACGAGTTCTCAGTCTTAAGAGACGGTATGAGTGGGAATGCACCGAGCTGGGCCCTGTCCTCATGGGGCCCTCTCTGCCACTGATGCCACTTTCGTGCCAAAAGCCCTCACCAAAGCATTAAGTCCCACACATCACCAGCACCTCTGACTCCAGTTTCCAGTGATGCCATAGGCTTTTCCAGAGGTGATCCAGGCCTGTCCACGCTGCTGTGCAGCAGCCTGGCCTGGCCCACCTGCCAACGAGCACGCCACACCATCCCTGAAGTGATACTAGGTCAGCTTAGGGAGGGAGCCAGCTTCAAGCCCACCAGCATCTCAGGATTTGGTCTAAAAAACGGGCAGGTTGCTCAGAGTCCTTAACCTTGCTTGGTGTAGCTCCAGAGAAGGGGATTCAAGGACAGGAGCCTGGCCCCAGGCATGAAACAGCCTGGGGGGTGGGGGTGGGGTCCTAAGTCCTAAGTGAGTATCCAACATTTGTATTCAGCACATGAGGGGCCCAGAACTCAGAAATGACTCCTGAACACACCCATCTATTCTGAGACTTATGTGGTTTCATGCCCTCAGAAGGGCTTCCCTGATGTCTGGCCAGCTTTGGGACACTGCCCTGGTTGCCTGCCTTGCAGAGTGACCTACATAGTCCCAAGCGCACAGCAGCTAGCAGTGACTGTTTTTGTATTACACTTCTGGGAGTTTTATCTATTTATTGAAAGGGAAACATTTAAATAAACCGTCATCTGGAATCATGTCCTCTGCTTGTCCTGCGGGTCAGTAACGAGGGCCTTCCTTGGGCTGGGGAGACAGTGCAACGGTTAAAAGCACGCTCTGCTTTTGCAGAGCCTGAACTGACTGGTGCCAGCTCCCCCGCTGGGCAGCTTGTACCAGCTTGTAACTCCCGCTCCAGGGAATTGCACATCTGGCATCTGCACTCGTGTGTTGCAAGAACCCTCCCTTACACACAACTAAAGATGAATACAAGAAAAGTTTTTTAATTAAAAAAACTGACATGCCAGGCAGACATGTGACTCATGTGTCACTGAAGAAGAAGACGCTCATGGGCACCGGACCCAAGACACACAGCTCTTTCCCACACAGGCATGGCAAAGTGGGGGTTCTGTATGCTCTTTATTCCACGAGTGTGTTGAATGTGTTTGGCACCAAGAGGACTGGGTTCCCTGGGGTTAGTGGGAACTTTCTTTTAGCTCATGATCGACTTGCTCTTGTCCCCCGACCAGCTTTATTCTGAGGAGGGTACCCTATGACACTTCCACATACTTCTTCCAGGCAGGGAAAGTCTAGCAGGTGAATACAGCACCCGTGTAATCAGCGGCACTGGCTGTGGCTCATAAGGTGTGTTCCATGAGTGCTTTCTGGGGCATGGAGACCCTGGCAAACAGATGGGGCGGCCATATGGTTGAGACCAACATGTGCTCCTAGCCCTAGCCACAGCCTCGGAGAAGAGCGGGACACAGGTTCTGAGGGAGGGTGAAGTTCATGACTAAAGCCGAGTGTTGGCTTCTGTAAGTCTAGTGTCCTGCCACTGAAGCAGTCCTTGTCCAGGGAGTGTGCATACATCCAGGAGCTCCCATATCCTGATCAGGAGCAGACTCCATGCAGTGAGACTGAAGGACAGATTAATGTAGCAGGTGATTTCTATTGAATGGGTGGATGTTGATTGGTTAAGACCTCACAAAAGCGCCGAGATCCTCAGGGTGACATGGAGACTCTTGTAACATTCTTGGGAGCTGCTCTCTTGTTTTACTCATTTCTCCATTCCTCAAACCCAAGTAAAAAGTCTTGCCACGCAGATTCTCACTAGAGTTTTAGCCAGCCTAAGTGAGTTAAAGTATTAGAATCAAGACACTCTTCTGCAAGAACAAGTGCTTTTAATTTCCAAGGCAGCGGTTCTCTCTCTTTCTAATGCTGCGACCCTTTAATTCAGTTCCTCATGTGACCACCCAACCATAAAATTGTTTCATTGCTACTTCATAACTGTAATTTTGCCTCTGTCACAGATCTTAATGTGAACATCTGATGTGCGACCCACAGGTTGAAAACCACTGCTCTAAGCCATCTCTCCAGGTCTCATTTGTTTCCTCGACAGTGTTTCTGGTTGAAGCAAGGTAGAACTTCACTGTAGTTGCTCTTTTGTTTGAGGCAAAGCTTCACTTTGTAGACCAGGTTGGTCTTGAACTCACAGAGCTACACATGCCTCTGCCTCTACAATGCTGAGGTTAAAGGCAAGTGCCACCACACCTAGCCCCTCAATGCACTTTTGATTTGCATTTCCCTAATAGGTAAGGACACTGAATATTTTCATGTGTTTATTGGCTGTTTATCTCATATTTTTATTTCATTGATTCGATAATGTTTTAGTTGTTCATATATTCTGGCTATTGATCCTTCGTCAGATGACTATTTGGCAAAAATGCTCTCCCATTCTGTTGGCTCTTTTCACTCTGGCCATTGCCTCCTGTTGCTGGGCAGAAGCTATTTGACTTTATGTTGTCCATTCGTATCCTAGAGGGTTCCTGTCCTGCCATGTACCCCGAGACAAGAAGAATCTGACAGGAAAGTGAGCTCTAGAGAGGTGCCTGGTTTTTCTGGAATGCTTGGGGCTAACTGTTCAAGATCTCATACGTCAACAGGACAGGCGGGCCAGAAGTCAAGTATTCCCACAGTTTATTTTGTTTTGGTTGCTTTAGCTGTTAAGGGATTCATTCCCCTTATCTCATTCTCCCACCCTCAGGTTTTCATAAGTACCTTGAGGACATCTCAATTTGTCTTTTATCAGTACCATCCGCTAAGATGTGACACAGTCAGGGGTCCCTCACCAGAGGCAGAATCATGGGGTCACAGTCTTAGACTTAGGGCTCTCAGACTAGAAGACAGATAACCCTCTTCACATAGTCAGCAGCCTCAGTTGCTACATTATAGCAACTGAGAACAAACTAGGGGCAAGTCTGTGCATAGGCTCTGGTGAAATCATAGGACAGCAGGGAAACAGAGACAAAGGGGAGATTGAAGAGGTGAGGATCAGTTCGAGTTTTGAGATCAAGGTACCCTAGGTGGACAAAGACCCAAGGGACAACGTGCAGTACTCAAGATACATTGGTCTGAGATGGGAAGATCGAGGTAGCCTGAACTCACTAGCACATGATGGTTGTTAGGGCCCTGGGACTGGCTGACGACCAAGGGGGTACATAGATCCTTCAGCTCAAGACTCGGGAACAGAGTTGTAGAGCGTGTCAAGCAACTAAGAAAACAAGAATCAGTTCCAGTCCAGATTCTCTCAGAAAGCAGGACATCCATATGTAAAAGCAGGGGGTCCAGGGTATAGTATAGGTATAGGTAATGTTGAAGGGTGGCCTGGTTTTTACCATGGCCATGAACCAGCAATCTCAAGACAAGACCCCAGGGGTTCATGGCCAGCAGTACTTTAATATGTATGTACACACACACACACACACACACACACACACGTGCTCTATCTGCATGTACACCTGCACACCAGAAGAGGGCATCAGATCCAGGATAGATGTTTTGGAGCCACCATGTGGTAGCTGGGCATCGAACTCAGGACCTCTGGAAGGGCAGACAGTGCTAAAGCATCTCTCCAGCCCCTTCAGCAGTGCTTCTTGATTGGTTTCTTGGTACCTTTCATCCAAGAACTGATACAACCAAGATGTTCAGGGCACATGCTGCACACTAGAGCAGGCCGATAGGTTCCTGTGGAGAGGAAGAGCGGAGGCCCCGAAGGTTCATAGAGCAGGTGGGGCTATGAGGCCACCACTACACAGCTTCAGGCTTCGGGAGCCAAGGTTCCTGCTGGTCTGCTCAGATTGTTACCAATCTGGCAGCAATGATGCTCCAAAGAGATGCCCATGTCAATTTTATCATCAATACACCCCAAAGAAATGGGAGCCCCTGTTCAGGAGAGAGGACCATCCAGAGGGGGAACCTGTCTGTCAGAAAGAGATTTCAGACAGTTGTAACAACCTGTCAGAGCATTTTACAAGGTGAAACAAACTCCGATGACCACGGTAGACGAGACCGCATCTTGGCCAGCACTGCTTAAATATGCATATCCTGGACCCTTTGTTCACTTCAGACTTGAGAGGTTTGCTGTGTCTCTTTGTCCCTCTTCCCAAAGGAGCCACATTCTAATTGGCTTATTGATGGGTGGTCGAACCTGACTTGGGACACAACACTATAAATGAAAGATCCCAAACGCCAGGAAGGTGACTCAATGAAGCAGAAAAAACCAAATGTTTGGCCGTTTTTGCGTCTTTTATTGGCGTGGCACATCTTGCCCTGCGGAGCAGGACCTCAGCGCACCTGGGCCAGGTTGTGCTTTTTGTAGAGCAGCGCCCGCCGCTTCTCCCGCTCGCGCACGAAGGCTCGGAGTCGCGCGGTGGGGAAGGTTACGGGCGTCGTCCGGGAGCCGGCGGGGCCCTCCTCCGTCAGCCACCCGCACTGCAAGCAGGTGGTGGCGCACGGGCGGCCCCTGAAGCAGAGACTAGATGAGCCGCGGTGCGGGCGGTGGGGTGGGGGGGGGGGCGGGGGGGTGGGGCGGGGCGGGGGGGGGGCGGGGCAAGGCAAGGCAAACCGAGAGGGAAGGGCTGCGCGGTGGGTGGGGAAGGCGAAGTGGGCTGGACCCGCGAGAGCAACGAAGTAGCGGGGCGGGGCGGGGCATAAGTAGGGCTCCTTACCAGGGTCGAGCGCACAAGGAACTCTGCAGGAAGGCTACAGCGCCCCCCGACAACCCGGCGTAGCAGCGACTCAACCGAATGAGTCCCTTGCGCAAGCCTTTCTGCAGGTCACGGGTCCCCTGGCTGCTCATCGGGTACTCGCCGCTCAGCCTGCGTGGGTGAGAAGCACTCAGTAAGCCCTGGACGGATAGGAGATGCAGGAACATCCAGCTCACCGTAACGGATGGTGAAATATGGGGACCTAATTCACCTCTGGACGTGTTGGTGGGGTGCCCAGGGCTCTGTGTTTGGAGCTTGTCCCACCCACCTAGCACAGGGCCCTGGACACCAGAGGGACTCACATAATAAAGGCCGTCACGCCAATAGCCCAGATGTCCGTCTGTGGAACAGCCCCTTGGCCTTCCAGAAGTTCCGGAGCTGCAGAGGAGCATGGGTAGACGCAAGAGGTTGGCCGCATTTGGGTAGGTCGGGTAGCGGATTTTAGGGGAGGAGCCAAGTGATGTGAAGGGCCCAGGTGAAGGGGCACAAGCATGTGACTCCGGCGAGAGGCTGGTGGGTGTCAGTGGAGCTGGGAGGGAGGGAGGACAGGTAGGGAAGAGCTTCCTCCCTGGCCCCACAGTTCCGGCGTCACCTAGGCACGCACCCATGGTCTCCAGGTAGTCTCTGAAGTTCTCAGGGGGTGGGACCTTCTCTTGGCTGAGGCTTTGGGCATTGCCCAGGTCCACAACCTTAAGCAGGTTGTACTCAGTGACCATCATGTTCTCGGACCTCAGGTCCAGGTGCAGGATGCGTTGGGCATGCAGGTACTGGGTGGCACTCAGCATCTGCCACAGGTAGTCCTTCACGTCAGACTCTGAGTAGGAGTCCCTAGGGGCACAGATGGCTCAGGACAGGCCCACGGCAGGGAGAGCGGGTATCCCAGCGGGGCCAGGCTTGCACAGGAAAGGCTGAGAACACGGCTGAGGGGGCGTGGGGTTCTGCCAAGTCCCGGCTCAGTGGGATCACACAGCTCTCACAGTCCTTCCCAG